TCGAATGACATTGTACCAAAGAAAACTGAACAAATAATACTATTCGGTACCTATCTACTTAGATTATCATATTGACACTATACTTTTATGTATTCGTTTGTAGATATGTCATTGTTACAGGTACCTATGAGTAAATATTAGAGTATAGTTGAATGTTCTAGCTAATCGCACCAATCGCAGAGCGAGGAAAATAAGATTTTACTTAATGCAAAATATCTTGTTACTCAAGTTCTTGATGCAATTTGTATTTTTTGCCAATAATGTATATATTCCTTTCCCGGAATATTCAATTAGGTTGAATAAAAATGCTGGTTTAATCAGGAACACCTTGCTTTCAATGGAAATTCAAAGAAAAAAAATACATAATAGAATTAGAGAAAAATATTCACAATAAATGCTCGAAATGTTTCCTCCAACTCTAATGCATACATCGTAGAATGGAATTTATTTGGGAGTTTCTAAATACTGACAGAATATTCTGTATTTCTTGCACCACATGATGAATTCGTTCTCCAAATTCTTATTTTTTTATTACATTCTCGTTCATAGACACGATCTTTTATGTAGACTTAAAGAAAAAATCCAGTGTGTTTAGATCCGAGGACTACGGTGGCCAAACGATTCTTTTCCTCTTTTTTTCATCTTCTTTGATAAGGATTTGTTAAAACTGACCATCTAACTGAAACCACATATTTCTGTACAAGTTAAGGGTACTTCTCCTAGCAAGCCTGGCAGATGTTTTGCAAACATCGTAAAAACTGTGTTTCATATAATCTTTGTGTTCATATTTATTATACCAGCTCATAAATTGATAGGTACCTAATTCTAAACCGGTGCTGAAAGCCATCGTTTCTTGTTATTCGTGGGTTTTCTACCGCCCAATAGTGTAAATTATGTATGTTTCACCTATTTCTGGTTGCTCGATTGGTATTACTCAAAAATAACAAAGATAAAAAAATTGATATTTATCTGAAAAAAGTTGCCTTTTCTCAACGGCTAAGTTGGCTGAACGTGTTGTGCTGCAAAGGCTAACAGAAAAAGTTGAAGACCGAAATGTTCTGCCTGACGAACAATTCCGCTTCAGGAGGGCACACTCCATCGAGCTGCAGGCCCTGAGATTGGTCGAAAATTCCATGCCAGAGCTGAACAATGGACTGTCTAGTCCATCTCGTCCTCCTGGATATTTCGAAAGCCTTCGACCGAGTCTGGCACGAAGGCCTGCTACACAAAATGCTCGATTTCGATTTCCCTCGGGGAAGCTATTCCTGATTTGTTGGTTTCTCCTTGCTGTGTGTGTTTCAATGGCTTTTCAATGACTTCTTAGTTTCACCGATGTATGATTCTCCGCACTCTCAAGGTATCCGGTATATGCAATTCTTGGAATCGCAGTCCGCGTTTGGTGGCCTGGTTTTTGTGAGACTGCTACGGATAGCGTTTCAGGATCTGAAGCAGGTTCTGATGTTATACTTGGACACAATTCTTCTTATCCTCTGATGTAGGTAAGTACAAGTACTGGTTGTGACGGCTTCTTTTCCTTGTGAGGCTCGTGCTGCCTTCTAGCCAAAGTCTGTTCCATGATCACTTTGGAGTAACCATTCCTTTGACGATCATTGTTGATGATGCCTAGCTCCTCTGAAATACGAAGGAAGGCCTCGGACTGCAATTCCAAGAATTGCATTTACCGAATACCCTGCGAGTGCAGAGAATCCTACATCGGTGAAACTAAGAGGCCATTGAAAGTTCACATTGCCAAGCACAAGAAGCATAGACAGCGAGGAGAAACCAGCAAATCGGGAATAGCAGAGCATGTTCTGACTCATCAACATAACATCAAGTGGTCTCAAGCTGAAATCATCCACAAGGAGGAACACTGGTTTAGGAGAAAATTCAAAGAAGCCGCATATATGTTGTCCAACAACGCAGAGAGGGAAGAGGGGATAGATGAAAGCACTCGAATGAACTATAAATAATCATCTCTCGGAGGAATAAGTCCAGTAATCACCCGAAGACGATTATGGATACTAACAATCGAAACGCGTGAAGTAACTTAGCTTTTAATTTTCATTTCTGGTTGATTGTAAAAATTTCCAGTTGTTGTTTGTTTTTTATTTCAATGTAATTTCAGTTTTTTTGTCTAATATAATTGTTATTTTTCAGCTGATCTTTTTAAGTTTATTGATTCTATCAGGGACTTCAAATCATTTTATATCATATTAGACAATGGAAGTCCGAACTAATTTAACGAAATATTAATATTCTGCGTCTGCCCTCATTGCGCACTTAATCTCATTGATTTCGTTTGGGGCCAACTAAAGGGTTTCTTTGCAAGTGGAAACGACATTTAAAATAAAAGATGTCAAAATATTTTTCAAGAGTATGATGATATCACAGCGAAATTTTTGCATATATCTAACATCTTACGTTATGCATAAGCACACATTTCAGGCTACGTTTAGAGAAATCAACGCCCTTCGTGGTATTAGCCAGGGGAATAGTTGTCAGTTCATTAACCTACGATGTAAGGTAAGTCGAAATTGGCCTGAACATGTTGTTCTGATGGTCCTTCTGTGGGTGGGAGGTTTGCCAAAATGAAAGATGATTTAATTTTTGCCAATTGATATTTTTGAAATCTCAATTGATTCAGTGTTATTTTTTCATTTTTACATTTATAAATAGATTTGATTAATTGTAATCCTTTTTTTATATCTTATTTACTTGCGGCTTTCTTATAAAAAACATTGGCCAAATTCAACAAATTTTTAGCGTCTAATAATAAATTTACGATACTTTTCTTTTCTTTACGGCAAATCAAGATGTATCGCAACCGGAAAAACAATGCAGGAATGCAACAATATTTTTGAAGGATACATGTTTGAAACTATTAGACGTGAAAAACAAATCCTTTACATTTTCAGAACCTGGTTTGAGAAAATAAATGACCAAACGATCTTGACTCACAACAATGACAGTTTTATTAGAATCTCTGGCAATTTCTATCGAGATATTAATTATGTCAGTATCAGCAACTTCTTCTATTTGTTTACAGGAAAACCCTCGTGACTGAAATCTTTTCAACAAAGTTTTTATTGTTTTTTCTTTGTTTTTCTCGTTGAATAAAAATTTTTCTTGCAAAAATGGTATTGTTGTATGGTTTTGATAATCAAACTCTGGAATATTGTCTGAGATTTTTCTACGACTACGTTCTCCTCTTTAAGTTGAAGTACTCGTAGCTGCTGGTACTGTTGTGACAGTAACTGTTTTTTTAATTTCCGGGTACCTATCAAAGACAATACAGCTGCTTGCTGCCTAATATTTCTCTACATTACGCCAATATTTATTCATGATCTCTTCCATCGTTTAATTTTTCTGTCAAATTACTTTGTGCAGTAAAAATCCACCGTCGACGACATCTATGTCGTCAAAATGCGTTTGGTCTATTCACACTCACAAATAATTCGAAGAGTTGAGATTTTACATTGTTCCTGAGGCCATTTTTTGTAAAAAGTAATAGTGGAAAAGGTGCAAGCTCGTATTGTAAATAAGTTTCCATATCTTTTTTACTGTCTATCGTTACCGATATCCTTTGAAATAGCAATAATGGATCGATAGCTGTAATATCTCCGTTTACGGAAGATTGAACCGTTTTTAGAAACGAGACTTTGTTTTTCCTTTTAAATTTTACATTGCCAAAATTAATTCCAACAATAGCTTGCAAAGATTTTTTCCTCCTTCATACGCTTCGTGACAATTTACAGAATTACAGCCAATAATTCCAGAAAATATTGACATAATGTTATCAGTCTGTGGAAAAGGATCATACCTGTTTATTTGTAAGTCAGTTACATCTCTTTTTATTCGGTATTCGGTATAATTAGGATGCTTCTTTGATATTAAGTCAAAATAAGGTGAAAAAAATAACTATTTTAAATCAAATAAATTACAGTGTATTTGAAACATAAAAAGGTGAATTTTTACCAAATTTCATTGAAAACAATTCTTTTTTGAAAAAGAAAAATAAAAAACCAAAAACTTGGTTATTTGAATTTTTCACATAAATTTTGAGGTTATATGAAAAAATTGTGAATCGAAAATTGTAGATCTTTTTATTACCTACAACTTTGCCATTCAACGTTTTTCCATAGGACTTGTAGTTTCGACGGAAATCGAGTTAAATCATTTTTTACCCTTAAAAACTCACCCCGTCCCAGTTTCCGAACTCAGATCGCCCGTAATTTATTTTTCCCTCCATATTTATCATATTCCCCTCTTTTTCTAATGGGTTTCATCCTACTATTATTTTTTTTTCACTCTCTATCATTTTTGAAGGCTTCACCCCTGGTCTATACAGGAATAGTTGGGATCGTTTTTACAGATATTTATCGATGTAGACATTATAACAAAAAATGGATTTGTAAGAGAATCACCCGGTTGCATGAAAGTTAAGTGTAACTAGAACACAAATAGGGTCAATAGCTGCATCTCAAAAACTAGAGCTGTTGGAAAAAAAAGAAGGGTATATTTGAAATCGGTGACCTTGATTTAGTGAACAATATCAATGAAATTCTAACCAACAAAAAACAATTGAATTATTTTTCCTCATGTATCATTTATTTTTTTCCTCTTTTAGGAAACAGAGTATAGAATTTTTTCCATAGAAGTATTTTTCAACAGTTATCATCATTGGAAGGCATGAACCCTCATATTGCTTGCCGGCAGTCCTTCTCTCAAGTAGGTTTTTTTATTAATTTCAATTTCCCTACGATGACTTACCTTGACAGTGCACTTCTTCTATCGAAAACACTTTTCCCTCAACAACAAAAATGCTGTCTTCTTCTCCTAAAGACGCCAACTCAGTTGGGAAGAGTGATGCAGTTTTTGTGTTAGGGGAAAGTGCTCGTTTTGAATTTATTCTAGGCCAGAGGTTCCACTTCTATCTTTCAATACTTTGACTAAGCTATAATAAAGGTCATTTTGTATAAACTGAAAAAAAAATCTGAATGTTTATAATAACATTTATATTATTTTTCTTTTTTATACATCAATATAAATAAGTACATAATTTATTTAACTATTAATACCTACATTATAAATACTAGTTCATAAATTAATTAAAAAAATATCAGTATCCAAGCTTCTCGTTCCTTGGAATGCTTAAGAGAATTTGACTAGAATCAGATTTGGAAGAGAGATTTTCCATTATTCGCTGGTTATTTTTTCGATTCCTGAAACAAAGGAAAAGTCATTGGTGATTAGTATAACCAATTAAAATAGCTTGAGTATTACTTATTATCTTATTATCATTTCTTTTTAAAACATTATTTTTATTACACAGTTTACATAAATCAAAACAAACTTGTACAAACCTGCATTGGGTATAAAAACGTTTCTATAGAGTCTTCTCCAACTAAATTTTTCACCATGCAAGTGTATGTTCCCATATCTGACCATTCTATTGATCTTATCCTAAGTTCACCCTCTTGAGACGCCGAATACTTTTCGTCGTTTTCAATTGGTTTGTCATCTGTGTCGTACCATGTCACTTCGGGTCGTGGATTTCCAACGTATTTACAAGGTAAAATAACATCAGTTCCTGCAATTAGAAAATTAACACATTGTACATAGTGATCATCTGGTTCAAAATTAAGTATTTGGTTTTACAGTTGAAGGGAACTATTTTCAAACTGAATTGCTAAGTATCAGCTTTTGTTGAAGAAAAGGTTAATTTTCACATTTTTGCAGTAATTTTGATACGATACCATAGCTACAAATATCTGTTTTATCAATGGTTAGGTTACATTGGTAACTTGAGTGAGGATTTCGCGGTCAGAAATTGTCGATCTTCGTTATTTTGTCTTTGTTACGAGTGGTTAGAGTATTTCAGAAGATGTCAACCATTTATATCAGCGAAATGTTAAGCAAATTACCCAAAAAGTAGCACTTAGATCCGGGAAAGTGATAAACTAAAGCTTGGTAGGTACCAACAATAATTTGGTAGGTTTACTAACCGATGACATCCATGTAAGTCTGTGCCCAAAATGTAACTCTAGGCAGGTGGTGAGCTCCGAGAATCCTGGCATTGAGAAGTTGCGTGAAATTCATGTCGTTTCCTTCTTTGTTCGTGACAATTACTTTACTAGCTGATGTAGCTACGTGGGTACCTGCTTCTGCAACACATCTATAGACATCTTGATGGAGCGGCAACAGATGGTTTATCACCAGTCTAGAGGCAACTTCGGCCAAAGCTTGTCCTTGGTTGATGATATTTGTTTCAAAACTTTCGTTCTGAAAATGAAAAATATCTCTAGAATATTGGTCAATAATTTAATTAGCCAAAGAGGAAATCAGATACCAGAAATTTCAGAGAAACAGATTCATTGTTAACTCAATCTGATTCATAAGCAGAGGTCACTGCCTCTGCTGGATTTTTCAAAATTTCAAAGATTTTGTTGTGGAAATTGTATACCTACTTTGAATGCATAGCTCAAGTCTCATATTGAAATAACCGACATGGACAGTGGATCAAATATTGTTTTCATAAATATTATAAGAACAATTAACTGGGTTTGTTCAAATGAGAAGTTAGAAAACCCATAAAGACAGTGGCGGCGCCACGGGAGGGCAAGGGGGGCAGTAAGCCCCCGTCCGCCTTTTGCAAAATGTTGTTCTTTAAATTTTTAAATTTTAAATATTTCACAAATATATTGTTAGGTACATAATACGGCAACATTTGCTTTCAATACCTCGACCTCGTTGTACATTCCTTATCGCTCGCTGTTTAATGCGAATGTGATCATTTTCTTAGAAATTGAAAATTGATTGTATGTCGGCATGGCACTCGTAGCAGTAGTAGCAGTCTGGTTTGTTATTGTTACTTTGATGGATAAACAGTTTGTCGATTTTATTGATTATGGAAAAAAAGATAAAATTGTCCAGAGCGGATTATTGAAAGTCACGCGAAAAGAAGAAGTTAAAATATGCTGCTACATCACATTCTCAAACAAAATAAATTTTTGTTAAACTTTCAATTCGTAAGTTCTTAATTTTCAGTTGAAGATCCGAAATCGTATTCATTATGGAAATGTACACATTTACAGAGAAATAAAAGAACAATTAATTTAAACTCCAAGTTGCCTAGAAGAATCGGTGCCAAATAAACCTGACATTACGGACAGTACCAGTACGGAGTCAACATTTCTTGATGTTCCATCTACGTCAACCGATATAGTAAAAACAAAATCCGATTTTTCATTAGGTTCTGCTGATTCAACATTTACGGAGGTAGATTATAATTCGGATTTGGATAGTGATAGTACTTAAGAACAAGACGATTCTGATATCTGCTGAGAGTGGAGGTGGAAAGAATATTTTGTTTCTACACGGATCATTTTATAATTGATATTTCAATTTTGTAGGTATTCACCTATCTGTCGATGAAAATGCTTATCCCGTAGACCCATTTTTATTCAAAAATACTATTTTGATCCCTGAAATAGTGCGTCAACTAATTCTAACAGTAATGCACTATTTGGAACCTTTGGTGTAGTAATGAATATTACTGGGGTTTTTTTACAACACCAAACCATTATTTTAACACCTCGACGCGTGTTTCGATCACCAAGTGATCATCTTCAAGAGGAAGATTAATTTTCCTTCATTTGGTGATCGAAACACGTGCCGAGGTGTTAAAATAACGGTTTGGTGTTGGGAAAAAACTCCAGTGATATTAAATTCTAAGACTTTCCAGATTCCAATTACAGAAAATTCAACGGTTTTTGGTACAAACTTAAAAAAACGACTTTTGGACAGCGCAGCGTACGTGAATGGTTAGTTTACTCTCCAAGAGGTAATAAAATGTTTTGTTTTGTATAATAGCTTTTTAATAGTGCACATTAATTAGTATTGAAATGTTTCTTTTATTATAGTTTTGTGATATTATTTCTTTTCTTAATGGGAAGTACAGTATTACTTCAAATATCTATGCCTTTTTACTGAATCAATCTTTGCGCCTAGTTATGGTGTGCCCCCCGCCCTTAATTTTTAGAATCGCCACTGCATAAAGAACGTTCACCCACATGGTAAATCGCATATCTAGCAGCGGAAGTGAAAAATTGTAGGCCTTTCCATAATTTGAGCTTCTGGCAAGTAAATCACCGTTAAGGTATTCAATAAAAAACCTGGTTTGGCCAAAGAACTTGGTAGAGAACATTCTCTTTAAACATTTCTGTCAACTTACTTCAGTTATCCTCCTATTCATTTTATACCATTGGATTGTTGGGGGTGGCGAACCCATGGCTACGCAATGCAGTTCGAGATGAGCTCCGACTTTCTTATTTACTAATGAGACTGGCGGGCTGCTAATCTTCACCCACTGTTGGTTATTGAGGGGATGCAAGTTTGCTCTGGGATCAGTGCTCACTTCGTTATCTATGTCTTCAATCAGCCTCCTGCAGTGGAATTGGTTTAAACTGATGGTGACGAGTAATACTGATAGGATAATCTGAAATAAAAAAGCTCATTTAGTTTTTAAAGCATTGTCTTTCCCAGAATAATTTGGTAAATAACACGCGAAAACTAAAAAATGTAACATAAAGACGATATATAATTACCAAGAGGTGAAAATAATTATTTATGTATGAAGGGCGTAAAATAGGCTTTTATGGTCCATAAAAGCCAATTACGCCTAAAATTCATACAATATTTTATGCACAACTGGTATATTTGATGTCATGTTACACGTTAGAAATACATCAAGGCTGCTGTGAGGCTGTATATTCATATCATATCGGAAACAGAATACATCAAGAAGTGATGGAATGAATGTAACCATGGCAACTCAGTCAATTTTTCGAAATAAAATTACATAATTAGATGGAGTAGTAGAAAGCCAAAAACTTTCTTTCCCAAAAAATTACATAGGCTTGTAATCATGATTGCTATCAATGATTGTGATCACAGAGAATTTATTAGTGACTTTGAAATGGATGAAGAATTCGTGGGGTAGTGTAACGGGAATAATGTAAAAAATAAGAACTATTTTCTGGAAAAATCTAAATATACACGTTAAACGAGGATTAACCTCGTTAATCCTTAGCTCGCACAAGTTTCGACTTCTGAGGGTTGTCGTTCGTAGGGGTGCGACAGCTGGTTAACGAAAAAAACAGTAACAGTAAAAAAAGACAGTAAGTCCTCTTCCATGTGATCATATTATTCCATGCTGAAAGCTACTTTAAATGTACAATATGATAGAGATATCAGTAGATACGCAAGATTGATAGCTTTTTATGAGTTACCTATAAGTAAAATACATATATTGATAGTCTGATGATGATGGTTTACTAATTCTCGACTTATAATGTGCACTTCTATATAATCAGATATATGTTTTAATAATTTTCCATTTATTGAAACCATCGGAATTTAGATTTTTTATCGATATGAGATCGAAATTAACTTTAGCGCCTGCTCAAGGATTTTATCGCCCGCCGGGCGATAAAGTAGTCCGCGGGCACTAAAGTGCTATTTTACGCCCGGTCGTGCATAAATAAATATACTCCAGAGCTGTTTGTGAACATTCGAAGATCTCACTCTAGATCTAAATGAATCTTTGAAAATGTGACTGATTTGTCTCCCTCGTCGATTCAAGTATAATTATAAATCTTTTTAAAACAACGCTCAGTGATATAAAATCAAAGACATTGTCATATCTTTATACATTCATGCGATATTTGTCCAAGAAATTTAACGCAATGCATAGTCAGCTAATGATTATTTTGAAATGCAGGAATACTACTACGATAACGAGCTTACTCAATGAGTCAATGAATTCATGAATGAACTTTATTACAACGGTTATCGTGATCTCCACAGCGAGCTTACTCGTTTTGCGAGAATAACAATAAAAATATCTCCTCGTAAAAAGGAGAGCTAATAATTTGAGAATTTCAGGCTTATCAAGAGATATCATATTTTGGAGATCCTATTGAGTGATGTTGGTTAATGTGTTGAAATATGTCTCCGACAGGACGGGACTTGAATAATTTGTTTGAAATTTTGGATACAGGTAGGCATTTTCATTCCTACGATATGACTAAGTCTACCAATAGAAACAGAATAAATATTGCATGTGAATTTATCAGTTCTGAGGAAAATAGCGATTAGTTAAGAAATCGCCCACTTATGTATGATTTTGAATTATCACAATTTGATAAATAACATTAATTGACTATGATAATGAGGTAATTGAGATATTGTAATTTCTTACGAAAAAACCACATGATACTATGTTGCTCAACAATACTGTATAGACCTCATATTCAACCATGACAGAAAAGTATAGTCTGGAGTTGAAAATACATGTTTTTGATGAATGTACCTATCTTTTGTGTGGAAAACTTTTCGAGAATCAAATTGATGAAGCGTATTTCAAAGTAAACAAATAAGGCAAGGTTGTTGTAAAATAAAAAACGGTTTCAACTTTGGCCGAAAAAATCAAAAATATAATATAACAATATCTTTAATTTGAATAAGAGAAAAAAATCTCAACTTAATCTAGAAAAGTGCTGAAACAGGTGAATTTCAGATATTTGACTTGAAGCGATGGATCAGTTATGATTACCAGAACGAATTCAGCTTCTACAATTTCATAAGTATCACATTCTACAGTATGTATACTAAAAGTTCCCGTTTTTGTAGGACTGATAGAAACGAGTCATTGAAAAGAGAATTAACATAAAATTATCGAAAGACTAATGAAAAATGACACTTATGGTAGCTTTCTTTCAATTTGTTAAATAACATGTAACATTAACCGAAAAAAATGCAATAATTCCAAAATAACATATACTGATGTTATATTCTTGTTTCCAATTACTCTCACACGACTTGAACCGAGAACACCTGCAAAATACACTTTGCAACTTTGAAAAATTATACGCGGCCAATTCTCGGAAGCTGCATGTTATAATTAATCATTCGAAACGTGATGAAAGGAAGACTGTATGGTGCCACAACTAAGCATTCCCAGAATATCATTCGTCGCTGGTAATGGGCACGTCTCCGAAGTCCAATTAACGTCATGAATTCCAAGGCTTTTAGCTGACGACACTACAACTGGTTCAATTGATAAAACTTATCGGGAATTTAAACGTTATATAATTTTCATACGATTTGCCTTGACAACGGTCCTTGAGGTGACACAGAAATTATAAAGTTGAAACATTGTGCACTTTGAAATTTTCGGAAGAAAAAAGTGGAATTTTATTATAGCGCTAACCCAGTGTACCGAATATTATTCCACCTTCTAGTGATACACACTTATTTATTTTTGGTTATGTGACCAATGCAACCTAAATTAGAAAACGCCAAAAATTTGCAAGATTCGGTAATAAATACCAAGGATATCAATAATTTTGACTTTTCAAGAACTGTAAGTTAATGATTTTTGATTGAAGTATCAAAAACGATAATTTGTTCAAATATACCGTCAATAGAAACTACAAAGGAAAAAAGAGATGCCGTTGATTTTCAGCGAATATTTGAAGATAACCAGAACGTATTATCCTGTCAAAAAATACTTCAATCTGCTGCTTTAAATTGTATGTAAGTCACGAGTGACGAGAGTGTGAAAAAAAAAGTGCAATGCTATATCCAATATCACAGGATATTTGTCTATTTCCACATTTGAATTACAGAATACATTATACAAAATATATCCGGAGAGTTGAAAACATGTTTTCCCAATGGTTGAATTTTAATTTTTGCAAACTTATTCTGTAATAAAGTTTATTGACAGGTGCGCAAAAGATTAATTTGAATGGAACTCAAAAATTTCGATAAATTTCCTAAATAGTCATCATCGAACTGGCAGGTCTGGTAAGTGTAATCTTGTTTGAGGGTATTGAAAACAGTTCCTACGCCACAGTGTAGGAAATTACCTATTACTTCGGAAAAATTACTGTTAAACACAATTATTCACCGATCTCAATGATCGGTAGCATTAGTTATATTCTGGACGTAAGCCAATTTCCATTCACGACCCACTGTTTTCAGTTGGAGATATATTTTTAAACTTCAAGATATAGCGAGGGATTCAAAAAGGGGTGAGCATAGTTCAATGATATGACGCAGTACGATCTCAGCAAAGCCTTCAATTGTTATGTCTCTCTCTGCAGTGATAATTACTCTCGTTGTAGATTCAATAGTTACTTATTCATACTTGGACCGTTCATTTATTTCGTACTAATAAAAGTTACTGAAACCAAACGAACTTTTCAACGATATCAAGAAAAAAGCAATAATTCATTTATTCATTGCAAACAATTTTCATATCCAGTAAAAATGTTTGCGGATCAACTTTTTGCGTTGTAATAATCGTTAATAAATAACGTTACTCAATTCAGCTACAAACTTTGGAGACACTCATACAGGTAATTAATTCTCTCGCTGTACCGCAACTTTCAGAAATATTTGATTAGTGTAAAATCTCAATATTTCTATTTAACTCTATTTGACTTTTTTCTGTGTCTACATGTTTCATGAGTTTGCACTGTTTCAGACAGTAATGAAACTCAAAACCTCCAACATTCATTATTTAATATTTTGGGGGTGGTTGCTTGAAGAAGTGAATTTTTGTGTTGAACTATATAGTAAAAATTACTCCTAAATTTCCACAGAGTGTAATTTGGTAATTCTTTTTTTGGCATCAAGTAAATTTGGATTTCGAGGATATCAAAATGTTTTAATGTTGATTGAAAATCTTTTAATATAAGTAAATTTATTGTGAAATTTGCGATTGCAGAATAAGAAAATATTGTCTAAACAAATTTTGAGTTCATATCTCGCGAGTTATCAGATAATTTGAATGACTGGTTATAGTGGAGATCTTTCCATCTTATAAAAAAAACCTTTTCCATTTCAAGAAACGAGAATATAATTTTAACGAACTTAACAAAAAAACCCATGCTCTCTACAATAATTATTACGAGAAAACGGATTTTACAACATCTTATTATCACTTGTATAGTTAACATTACAAATCTTTATGACTCATGAAAAATTATTATTTGATTGAGCAAAAATTCCCGGCTTTACAAGATACTTACATAATTATAGTACCTACCTACGTAAACGCATACATATTAATTCATTAATAAATAAGAAATATTCTATTCCAAACAAAACGCGAAAAAACTTGTTTTAGATTAGGATTCGTTTGAAAACCTTCAAAGAATTGGTGCACCAAGGAGGTATAACCTCCAATTTCACTTTCGTCAATCTACTAGAACGTTGCATCAGCCAAAGGTAAATAACATTGAGGAGGTTCATGTACGTTAAGTAAAATGCATTCATAATAGGAAGATTTGGAAGTGAAAACGTAATAATAGATCATATCGCAGGCAAGCTCTCATTTCATAAATTACAATACATTCAATACGTGATACCTATTATGAATTGATGATGTTCAGTAATTATTTTGTTATTTGGATTTTTTTAAGTAATCAAGGAAACGCACATTTAGGACAGATCGCAAAACATCGTTATTAGGTAAAATAAAAATATGCCCAGCTTCTATTTTTTAAATAAGTTTTAGGTCAAGAATTGCTTTCATTTGTTCATTATGTTAATTTTAAAAATCACTAAGTAAACTGTTTACAAAATGAAGAGATTTGATTTTGGCGCTGAAATTTAAATTGAATGTCACGACGAGTTAGATTCGTAAAATATTTTGATATAAATTTATGGGGAATGGGAACGATAAGATACTGTAAGATTAAAATCAGCAAACCCTGTGATCTAATGTTGAATATTTTTTAATTTTTTAAAATAAAAAATCACTTACCATTTTAATGGTGTAAAATTATCGTTTAAATATTTTAAAATTTATTTGAGATAACTATCACAACACGTGGAAATATTTTGACACTTTGTATTTACAGGCTGGTTCAAAATGAAATGATACCACCTCTGTCCCAGAGACTACGTGGGAAAGGTACAGTGGTAGCAGCCAGTAGATGGAGGGGACTGACATCGGTTGCGACTTCTGATGAAATGGGAGAGACCACGTTTTGCCGTTGGCGCTGTGACAAGTTCAATCTTGAAAAAACTACTTATTGCACGATGAAGCATAACCTAGATAAGGTTAGTTAGATTATGTTCCCCCGATTTTTTTAAAATGTACCATACAGCTATGAAATGAAAATATATCATTATATCTATTTCCAAAAGAAGATTTCGACGTTTCATATCAGAATACATTATCAGGACGTGTTACTGCTAGTGCTTCTTAAGGGGTAGTTGCCCCTCACAAAATAGAACATGATATGAATGAGAGAGAATCGTGAGAATTTTGACGTGAAACGTTCACTTGCGCTTTTTTTCTATTTTCTCATATACTTACTTTTTTAGAATAGACAAAAATTTTTTGACACTAGTTTTCTAATTTATTTTTCATAATTCTGATATGTATATTATTTATTGTCCCAATTACAAAGAAATCAACTTTTCGTTATTAGTTACCAAATGAAATATCATTAGGTACGTGCTTACCACGTTCTAACTAAGTTATTGTGTTAAAAATAAAGAATATCTTATAAGTACGCCATTTCAAAAAACAATTTTTATTTGAGACCATTTTTGCCGAATTTTGTTACAATATTCTGAATTACCGTAAAGTTGAAATAATATTCGCGATGTGAATGTTTACAATCTTTATATTGTATTTTATAAATAATATTTAAACTTTATAAAGATAGAAAGTTTGCTTTCAGTCTGTACCAGTAAAAGTTTGGGACTTTTTGGATGAACTCATGCTTACTCATTTCCAAGAAATCCACTCTTCGGCCCATATTATTGGGTATGAGGATTCGTAGAATTGGAGCAATATATTTCCGGCTGATCTGAGATAGCAATTTTTCTTTTCTCAGATTTCGTAAAAAGTCTTTAATCAGAAATTCACGACCTGAACTGTTCTAGGAAATTTACAGTTCTGGGAATATAAATATATATGGGTGAGTGGTTGATTTAAGAATGCCTCGTCCCCGAAATTGAATGCTTTATAGTTCAGACCCGTATTTTATATATTTTGGCAGAACTTTTTTCAATTCTGAGTAAAGTGACGGTAAAAGGCCGTTTAGGCAAAATGCGGCATTCCATTTGGACTATTCAATTAAATTTTCCCCTTCCCGCTAGTTCAGAATTTTCCATGGATTCTATTTCTGAAATTAAATTCATGAACAATTTTTATCACTTTAGGAAACGATGAAATATTGTTAGCTATTGGTCTTTTCCGATTGAAAAAATATTTGAAAAATATAGTTCAAGTCATTTCATAACAAATTTTGCATCGATTTATTAATGAATTAACATGAATCGCAAAAAATACAAATTTAATAGTTGATAACATTTTTTTTTCCAGTTAGGAAACCTAGTCTATATTTATATTGCATTTTGCAAATTTGAGCTAATATCTTCATTCACCACAGAAGTAACATTGTTTCAAATTAGTTTGTGATATTTTATAAGTATATACCTACCTTTAACTCGAGATTAACAAAAATAAGAGTGGAATATTTAATGGAGTCATTTAAATTATTTCATCAACAATCTCCATACATTACAGTAAATACATTTTGAAGAGTTTCAAGCAATCCGTTCGTAATTATTCATAAATAAGTTAACTCACCATAACTTTTCAAATAAATCACTTTTACGAAATCAACAAAATCATCACACGAGTACCGGTGTTTTAAAGTATAACACATTTATCAGTACTAGACCGTTTATCTTAATTATGCTCCAATTGAGTAGTAGTATTTATACTCACTACTCTCTCCCACGGGAAACACACCTTCCACCGGAACCAATAGAAATCATCGTTAAAACCATACCACGTTTTAAACGTCATGCGGCAGTAGACGTCTTGTGGCCCTGTTGAATAATTTTGTAATATTCTATTGGGTTTATTACATATTAAAACGTACACATTCAGTTCGGAGTGACGTTTCTATCTGTGTGTGAAGATTTTCTCAGAAAAAGTTAATTGGTTTTATTAACATAAACTTTCATCATGTGAAGAAAGAGATTAGGAGCAAAAGATAATTGATACTGATTAGTTTTTATTGGAAGAATGCTTGTGCATTTGTGAAAAACTGGGATTTAACCAGAACACATGTGCATATTTAAATTTTTCAGAATTAACGTGAAGTAATAAACTCCATTTGTAGTTTTCAGAAGAAAAAATAATTGAAATTCATACATCACCAAGCAATTTATTGAAAACTCCAATAACTATTTTATACAGAATTTGTTGAGAAAGGAAAACATTCTTAAGTGAACTATTATTTTTTGTCACCGTTTCGTATTGTATTAAATCCATAATCAGGGTGTACTTATTAATTTTGATGATGCAAAGTTTTTGAGAAAGGCTTTGCACATTGAGAATTTTAAAATAATATGGCTTTTTTGTTCTCAATGCACACTGTCTATTTTCATTTACAACTTTTCTCACCAAGAAACTATGGTGATTACTTTCAATGAGATTTTTTTATAAATCCAATGCTTTCATTATTATATTCAGCATCAGAAAATGTGAGTGATCTTGATTTTAAGTTCTTGATTATATAGATCCTATTTTTGAAATTGTGTTGTGAAAAGTTATTCATAAACCTTTTTGAAAAAGTGTATTTTATTTTAATTCCACCCTTTTCAAATTCGAACACAAAAGTAGATAAAACGAGAATTTTGATTGGCTCCGATTGCTTATGTTTCATATTAATCATAGAAAATCACTAATAATAGGCCAGTATGAAATCAGTTATCAGTGTCTGAAACTATAAACAAATCGCATAGTAGCACATCATTCGTATCAATTATTATTATTACGAAACATATACTTGTAAATCATAGAGGGTAATGAAAGTCCATATCTGTTTAATTTATGGGAAAATGTATTTTTTTATTGGGTGCAATTTCATCAACAAAAACCATTTTATGATGGAATGTCAAAGTTTAAAAAGAATATTAACAGAGTCTTATCTTTATCAGACATTTAATACATATATCTTTTAATTACCCGAAGGCATTATTCAGATTATTTATATACTATAAATTCCTCGTTCAATATTTTTTCATTCATTGGTATTACTTGTCATATATACTTCAATATGCTATAGGTAGGTATACATTTAGGTATACTTCTTTTGATTCAACGAAATGAAAAAGACAATAATTGTAACAACAAAAAATTGTTTTTCTCTATGTACAGGATGTAATAAATTCAATTTCTGGAGGTGATTTTATACATATTTTATGAAAAAAGTTTATATGAACTCCACTCACTTCTTTTCTTTGAGATAAGAATATACAAAATTTTTTTATGTAAAATATATCACCTGAAAATAAAGTCTACATTCAAATGACCATTCATATCTAGATATTTCTACTACAGTTAATATAGAAAGGAAATGAAAGTTGGGACACATTTATGAAAAAGTAATAAAAAATTTTTTTCTTTTCTTCTTGGCTGTGCTTCCTTATGGTGTAATCTGTTAACACATGGGATGTGGAAGGTGAATCGATTATACGGAATGCATGTCATAATGATTATAAAAACAGAGATTTCGTTTATGACGCGTGGAAAAGGGTTGAAAGAAATATGGGCGGTGATACCATCTACCACCTTCTCCTCCTTGTATGTAGGCTTCACTTTCTTCATTGAGTGCATATGAGCACAACTCATCACAATGAAAGTTACATCATTAGTTAATATTGATTCACTATCAATTTTTAAATAAACGAATATTCGTTATTCCTATACCAAGAAATCTTTGGCAAATACGCCACATTTCTGTCTACCTAACCCTGCCTGCCAAATACAATTTTTTTCACCGAGTTGCTCGGCGAATAGCGAATAATCGCGAATCCCGTTAACGTTTGTGTTAACGAATATTTACAATGAATAAATTTGACAAATCGAAAGTTTCTGGCAAAGGTTTCTCGGGCAATGTGTTCTTTGAGTTTGACGTGAAAATTATAAAATCCTAGATAGAAGTCACCCATACCGTTGTGTTTCCGAATTGTTTTTTTATTCACCTCTATTCCAAAATTATAAACCCTTCGAACCAATATTACTTCATTTTCTTAGTGAATGCAATCGCAGATTATTTTGAAACAGTCGTTGATGAAGCACAAATCGATACAATAAGCTAGGTACTCTTGTCGAAGGCAATCGTCATTTTTCATCATTGAATTATCGGAAAAGTTTAATTGTAATGCATACTTCTATTTCGAATCACATGTTTATATTTTCCAGTCCAAAGTTCGAAAATACGCAATGGAATGGAAAAATGAAATCGGGATTTCCTGACGTGCATTGTGAGTCCCGGTAAAAGTGTATAGAAAAACACAGCTTTCGAGAAAAATGTTTTTTTGAATGTAATGACAAGTTATGCACCATATGCAGAATAAATTATTGAATGTTGTGAATTATTCATTTATAAAATATTACTGAACAGTTTTATAACACTTCCAAAATACAAATCATGAAATTATAAAACAACAACAAAAATTAATTGGCCCTCCGGTTGGAGCCTCTTAATTTGGAATGACTCTACTGTGGTCATACTCGTATTTATATTTAAAACTTTTTCGAGAAATTTCAATGTAATCACCAAGAGATAAAGTGTATAGGTAGGTTTGAATAGGTGAGGTAAGATCTGAAAAATATGTCCGTCTGACGAATATGTTTTTTTTAACTATACAATTCTATATTAGTTGACGTGAATTCATTAAAAAATGTTGTCATTTCTTGCATAGATATCAAGTGAAACTACCTTCTAAATTATTTGTTTACATGCTAGGTGATTCATGTGAGCGTAGCCAACCAAAACTTACATTTTTTAAATGGAACACACAATATATAAATATATTATTCGATTCCATATTTTAGGCATTCTGAGTATTTTTTATTTTTCAATTATGTTGCATCTTTGTCAAGTTATTCAAAAAAACCATTACACTAATTTAAAAAAACTATCTTTGCCTTTCATAGGAACTGGGTGAAAATTATTCAGAACTAATTAGTCACTCACCATATCTTAAGTTGTGGAAACGACACATAGACGCCTGATAATTTTTTCAAATGGTACACCCTGAATTTTTCTATACTATACGAAAAATCAATATTTTTCCAATTATGCCCAGTTTCAGTATTTGTTGCAATTAGTAAAATTTGTCAGTAATGCCATTCATTAGAGTGTCTTTCGGGTCAAGATTTGATTTATCATCATCATGAATTATGTGTTGAATGATATGGGGCGAATGGTTTAAGTTTTAGAGGAAAGTGATGGAAATTACATATTGGAATTTAGAATATACAGAGGTTTTCGAAAAAAGACAATCAGGTGGTAAGGCATTTTATTCTCTAACAAAGAAGCTTTAAAAAAACTCTGATTACCTCCACAAAAAGCTTTTGTTCAATATTTCCCTCAATTGTTTTTCAATTTCATATATTTAAAACATAATACAACAGACTGGACTAAACAAATTGTTGTTTTAGATAATTCCGTATATTTAGATAATAGCAAACGTATTGTCTTGCGTAAAGCTATAAATGGAAAATTTCGACAGTAATAAAGACAACTAATGATAAAACAATGAAAAACGTCTCAAATGAGTTTCTTCCAACAATTCCCGTTACTTGATCAATTGGGAATGTAATTAGAGTTTTTTTTATTTTCTTCTTGCTTCAATGCATGCAAATGCAGAACTTTTAGGAATAATATGTTTGAGGTGTTGTAGCAAAAGGAGTGTCATGGATTAGTTTGTTTCTTTTGCTGACGTTTAATGTCGAAAGAAAACTTTACAAAAATTGAAATTTAAATATTCAAATTTCACATAACTTTCCTCTGAATACGTTCTTTCTTTGAAGTGAACCAGCTGTCGCACCCCTACGAAGGATAACCCTCAGAAGTCGATACTTGTGCGAGCTAAGGATTAACGAGGTATTACTTTTGAACGTACGATTCTTAGCACGGGTTTGATGATAGACCTAATTATATTTTTTCCTTTGGAAAAAATTAACTGTATTGACCTTGTGATGATGAATATGTAATTATTCAAGGGAGAACATGAAGAAAAATACAAAGAGGATGAATTCCACCTACTTATATTGGTGAGAAAAACCGTTTAGCGTGCAAGAAGAAATAACAGTAAAAACTATCTTTAGCAAGTGTCCTGGAATATTTTGATAGATTACTCGAGTAAAACCGTTAGCCAAATTTGTTGCCGAAGTACTACCAATAAAATATTTGATATTACTATCTCATTCTCCTCACTCCTGAAAGTGTCAATTCGATGTGTAGATCCACAAAATTTTGCACCCCCATAACAGCTTGCGATTTACGATATTTAACTGTTACACTGTTATATTTTGCCCGATAATAGAGTTGTGGAAATTGAGTTTCTAGTGTCCCTGGATGGAATCTGTAAAGTCATCAGGAATTAGAATCTCCTTCAGCAGGTAGTTTATTTTCAAGGTCACCAAACTTGGCTAGGTTTTCGACACTGAACGAGCTGACAAGAATGTCTAACTTGAACTATGTGAAGCCTTGAAAGTCGCTGAGACATGTGTACATCTATCTAGCTCAAGCCATAATTTACACAATATTTTCATAGATATAAAACTTCTTGTCATCGACGACGATGTACACTGGACACTCTGTCTGCCTGTTTGTAATAATGCTCTCCAGTTGTCGGTTTTGATATTTTGTAAGTAAATAATAAATTTGAGTTCAATGTTTTCAGAAAACCTGGCTATACAGATATCACCATCCCAAGCGATTCCTTCCATCCAGACAGTCATAAATTAGCAGCCTACAATGGGGAATGTTCCTCCTGACGAAAATCAAGTAGTTTTCATAAAAGAGCTCCAAAACAACGCATTTTAAACTTATCATTTCAACCTTTTTCTTTAAAAAAATATTCAAATACTGAAGAGGAATAAAGAAGAATGAAATAATGCATTCATCATTTAAAGGGATTCGTTTCTATTTCACCATTTGGCAACATCGGTTATAGCTAATAAAGAACAATGAATCTGTTACCTGTATGAGACAAACATAGATGACATATTTCAGAGGCGTGCTGTTCTGTTTACTTATATTCGGAGTTCCGAGACATTCTGTGACATATGACTTTTTGTGCACTTAACCTATCTTCCTCTATATAAATAAATAACAAAACAACTGTTTTTTATGTGGATTGTGGAGGTGGTATTGAACTATAACTTATATTTTGCCTCAATTGTTGATTTATAAAAATTATTTTCCTTTTTTAAAGTAGACTATCTAGGTACGTATAAATTATTTCAACTTGAAATAGGCACTATTGCCAATATGTGAATTAGAAATAAATCCCTTTTAAAATTAAAACCCAACAATTGAAACATCAATTTGAATACTTTTCGAAGTGAATTTGAAAAAAACATGAATTAAACTAAACTTCATTTTGAAAAGCAATGTGGAAGTGGCATTCAGACCACATGCCAGGTCATCTCATTTCCTTTTCAATGCCAAAGATAAGGTGGACAAGTTGGAGAAATCTGAAGTTTATAAGCTTGAGTGTCCGGAGTGTAATAGTGTTTATGTGGAACAATGTGGCCGAAATTTCCACAAACGGTATGCTGAGCATGAAAGGTCTTTCAGACTAGGAAAAAATAATTCGACGTTTTCAAACCATTCCTTAGCATGCAACCACAAGTTTCCGAATCTAAAGGATACGGAAATTTTTCACTATGCAAGGAAGGGTTAGAAACTCAATTATTTGAAATCCTTGGAAATTCACAATCATAAACATTACGGGTGCAACCTATTAAATGATCAAATCGATTTAGTTTACTTGCCGGTTTTTAAATTGGCACATCCGCATTGTAAACTGTAAATTCAGGTACTCAATCAAGCCAAGTACCTCTATTAGTACCTATTGGGGTGGTATATAATGGCTAATGTAATGAATCATTGTTAGTTTATTGTATAAGTTTGAAAATGTCCGTATAGGACGAAACTGCAGTAACGTTAGTTACAAATAAAAGTGGTTGAGAACATAAAAAAGTTTCATTTCTCTTTTCATTATTGTGTAAACGTCAATCTCTCCTTAAAATATTTTTTCATGAACGAAAGTACCTACTTATCAAATACTCTTCGTCATACCCAATTCAATTGACCACTTTTTTCACGTGCTCATTATCACTGAAACACTAATCAAGACCCCGAGGATGTACACCAGATTACCATTCATTCTTTCAATCCCATCAGCATCTCGTCCATTGATACATTTTTAATAGTATCTTTTTTAATTTCATAAGTGGTACTTTCTTGACAGTTCTTCAGTAATAAATGAATAGCTGTGAGGTCTGCTTGAAATTCACAGGTATATTAAGCCATAAATTAAATTGATATGCCTTATGGCACTTATGTGAGCAAGTGTAATTTATGTGACGGCTTATTAAAAACATGTAAAATGAATATCGGAGTAATTAGAGTTTTTTTTATTTTCTTCTTGCTTCAATGCATGCAAATGCAGAACTTTTAGGAATAATATGTTTGAGGTGTTGTAGCAAAAGGAGTGTCATGGATTAGTTTGTTTCTTTTGCTGACGTTTAATGTCGAAAGAAAACTTTACAAAAATTGAAATTTAAATATTCAAATTTCACATAACTTGATGCGAGTATTGAGCTTTATTCTCCAAAAGTTTTAAGATTTTTTGGTGAGATCAGAACCATATACAAAGTTATGAAGGTTATGGATAACCTGAAACATATTTGCCTTCTCTGCAATCTCTAATCTACTCGATATAATCTTACATAAACAATCATTATAGTTGTGTTAATAAGAAACCTTCGTCAACTTTCTATTTCGAAATCAATATATTAACTTTTGCACACTTCCAGAGAAAGAAAAAAATTTAAAATAAATATTTAAAAAAAACTTTGTGAAATTGTGTAAATCGCCAAAAAATATTGCTTTCATAGGAAAACTGAAAGAATTATCACAACTACTGGCACTTATGAATACTGAATTACTGAGAAATCAGTGTATCTTCTTCAGTTTGTATACAAAACACCTATGATGCAAAATGAAATAGGTATGAGAAATAGTATACAGCGAAATAAGTGGAGGAGGTATTTATATAAGAACCTACAGCCTTCAGTCTCAAAGTGGATTCCAGGAATTAGAAGGATAACCATTGTTTTCAACTCTTTCAACATCTTTCATACAACTTCATAAGTGAATCTAGTTACTTCAATTCCAGTTACAGGTATTGCATTGATAATTTTTACCTATTTTTTTAACGTTTATGATTTTCTACCCCTTTTTTAATATCTCAAGAGGAATTATCAATAAAAACTATTTTACAAAATATCTATTAACGTTTTCATCAGATACATCCCAGAAAAAAAAAATATCTATTAAACACTTTTTTTCTCAATTTTCCAGTATAGTGTCATAAATGAATAGTAGGTATTCAGAAATATGTACTACTTTCGTTTTAACAATTTTAGTTCGCTCCAAAAGGCAACTGAAATTATATACATCTTTGTTCAATATAACGAACAAGTATATACTTATTAACTTTGATTTACTTTTCGAAGGAAAGACAGTTGTCGGCAGATATATTATTGAACAGTTGTAACTTAGAGTAATATGAAACATTATGGGGAACTAGAACTCCTTAAGGAAAAACACAATTTTGTAAAAGAACTCAAAAACTGAATTGCAAAGGAAATATTTCCAGGAGAGATCAGTCTTTTGGGAAAAACTTTTGAGCTTTCCACCCTTCATCAATGAACAAAAATGTAGGCAATATTCAAAGGCAAAAATTACTACAATGAACACTTTTTATATTGATATGTAGTGTGTACAAAGAAGTTTCTTTCAGCTACAAACTGAAAAAAACCCTTTCGAAACAAATATTTTCACAAGAACATTGAATTACATGAAAATCACTTTTTCCCATTTAGTTTGTACTGCAAATATTTCTGAAACATATATCATTTATCAGAATGCTACACAATGTGAAGAGTATAGATATAAAACGTCACTTACATGGAACAATACCATCCTCAATGGTGTGCTTCGAAGTTTCCGGATACTTGTCTCATCACCTCATCAGTACCGTTTTTGGTAATATTGAAAAACTAAGCACTAAATTCTTTGATAACTTCACGACTTTTATGTCACCGGAAGAGACAAATAAATATCAATACTCTTTCATACACATTGTGTAGCGTTTCTAGAGATGTTTTTCAATTTCATAACGAATGTCTGTAGGAGAAACTGAATATGAAAAAGATATTTTCGTGTAAATCAATGTTCATGTGAAAGTAGTTGTTTCGAAAGAATTTTTTCCTTCATGGGCTTATGGGCTTTTCTTCCAGTTTGTATCTGAAAGAAACCTCTCACTATGCAAAACATATTCTCATGAAACAGTTTGTATTACAGTTATTTTTTCTACCTTCCTTTGAAAATTTCCCACACTATTTCTTTAATGAAAAATCTTTTTTATAAAAAAACTCAAATTTTTTAATGAAAACTGGAGGAATACAAAACTAAAGTCTATGTGCATTCAAATCATCATGTTGATTCTTTATTCTTATTTTCGCTTACAGTCGATTGGAAATCAGAAATCAACAGACGCATTTGACTCGTTAAAGTACAAATTCACTTTACCATAGAATATCAAATATATATCATGGATGTTGCTTCGGTATTATTTGCCAATTCAACTAGAAAAAATGTTCACTCGTGGAAACCTCTCAAAGATAGTGTTAATTGCTTTTCTTTTGTCAAGGATGTTCTCGATCATAGCCTGCTTCTTTTTCGTGATTTTTTACATCTCTGAACATATCAAGATTTCAATTGGAAACACTCGAGAAGCGAATTCCAAATTTAGATCGAATCTCGTCACATTATTGGAAGTATTGTTATTCCATGTGATATACTCCAAGTGCTCCAAAATTGAGAAGTTATAAAAGTCACTTCTTTCTAAAAATAAATATATCTAGTATATCAGCAATTCGAATTTTCTGAAAAATATCGTAAATATTTAATGAGAAATTTCATATACACACGTATTAGAACAATTATTAATCTCAAAGGTTTGACTGTAAACATTTTGGTGTGTGAGATGAGTGTTTGTATTCGAAACATTCAATCGTTAGTAACTCTTCAACTTTAGAATGATGTAAGGAAATGAATAATGTGAACTCCAATATATGGCAACAACGTTTTTTTCATTAAAAGAGTTGCAAACGGTATATAGATAACCAGTTTTTCTCATCAAATCTTTTGGTAATCAATATACTGAATCAGCTGTGGATGCAATTTAAAAAAATTGAATAGAGTTATTCCACATGTTCTGAAAAGGTATTATTCACCCTTCAGACACTATTTTGAGATAAGATTCAACCAATGGGTTCTTTTTTAAAATAATCATTTTTAAGAGATAATGTAATATACATCTTTACAAATATTGATTGATTTTGGATGAATATAAGGTGAAGGTATTCTAGTTTATATCTAACGAAATTATTTTCCCCACACACTAAAAAACACAAAACTCTACACAAGATTTACCATCGAAGTTGGCATCGACAGGACTATCGGGAGATCTTCGTGATTGTTATGGTATGTGTAAAAAGTTATTTCGTTAGATTCATCAATGGAGCTGAAATAATGTGCAGAGAAAAACTGCGTTTTTCGGTTCAATTAGCAGTTACTAATCAATTCACCCCACATTAACGGTTTCTATACATTCCGGTTGCATACGTACAATTCTTCAAATGTCATTTGTTGATTTGATTTTGAAATTATCCTCGTCAGTTTTTCGAAGTATTTTTTAATTTTTTTTCAAATCTGAAACACGTAACTAATATTCCATTTAAGCTGTGAAGTATTTGACAACTAATTTTTTTAACCCGCTTTCAAAATTTCAAATTTCAGATAGTTAGAAAATGTTAATGACATTGTGAATGTTTGTGTTTTTCTAGATTCAGCAACAAAAACAAGATACCATGATAATAAGGAAGAAGTGAGCAGGTTTCATCTCTTGATATTGCTTTCTACTGAATTAATAATTGTCTAAGTATTTATTGTGAATCATCATGAGTTTCAAAAATATAATAGGTTTCTTGATAAAATTACCAACTATTATGTAATATCAATATATCTAAGCATGAATGTCTTTTCGAATGAATCAGAGATTGAATACATAAATGAGATGATTCACAAGTTTGAAACTAGGTTGTACCCGAAGCATACTTTATAATCGATTTTATAATAATTTTCGCATGTAAGCCACTTCAAAATCTAAGTAAATGAAAAAAATCTTTAATAATAAAGAACAGTCGAGAATGTATCTGGGATTGTGAAAGTGCAATAAATGATTGAATAAAGTATATTATTCTTTACTTGATATGGGAATCAGAATCAGATAATCAGAATATTTTTCAAATTCTATTATACATGACCCAACTCTATTATACAGTTAGTGATTACCAAAAGATATTAAAATATTGAAGAATTACCGTCGCATCCTAATCTAACACTTCAAGTATTCCAGAAGGAGTATTCATTTATTCGGTGAATTTATCTAAATAGGTATGTATAGAAATAGAAGTAGCTTTGATCTTATCGAATTTGATCAGCTTAAACAGTTATTTAATATAAAAGGTTAGTATATTATTTTTGCGATAATATTTAACTCTGTTTTGAACATTTCTGAAATATTGTATCTGTGAAAAAAATTGATAAAACACTTTGTTTTGGTATTTCAGAGAAGGCACCAACTCAATGCGACCCGTATCTTGAAATAATTAATTGAGTAGGTAGTTTCGTTTGGAGCAAAAAAACAATAAAAGTTTCATTTGGATCATCAGACCATATTGCGGATGACTGCCTGCCCGTAGAAATTGGGCTATACAGATGTCTGATTCTTATTTTAGTTCGGTTCGGTGAATATACCAGTAATACTTGATTTAAGAAAAAAATTAAACAACTGAATAATAAATTTAAACAGGAAACTTAACGATTATACTATTTCGAAATCAAAAAAGTAGAACTGAAAAATAAAAGCCAAATCCTGTTCCAAGGTGTTCACGATATTTTTAAATAAGTACAGATTGCGAAATGGATTATTTTTCACCAATGAATCATTACCCTTGCGAATCATTTCAATCACACTCTTCAACTAAATAGGGAAAAAAGTATTTTATGAACTTAGAAAATGGAAAATATATGAACTTACTTCCGAAATACACTTCAGAAACAGTATAGAGTACAATTTTTGAAATTTATTTCGAAAATCAGGAATTAAGTCGAGTATAAAACGATGAAGTTTTGTGCTGATATCATATAATAAGAAAACTTTAAGATCTTCTATGAGAGAAAGACTTTATACCATATGTTGATGAAGTTTTGGGTCACCAAAGTTTGAACACAGCCAAAATTATGGCATGGATTTTTCTTTTTCATCATCCCGAAAAATATTTCAATAACTTGAGCTTACTTAAAAAATAATTTGAAGTAGAAGAAAGTAGCAAATTATAGGCACATCTCAACATTCTTCACACACCTTCACTTCTACATCACGTCAAGCGTAAATTATTAAATGTTACCGCAAAACGAAAAAGTTCGACAAAAACAAATAAAGTAGCCTCCGCATATAGCCATGACTTGACCAGACTGCGAACAAGACTAAAAAACCAAGTGAGGTACTCACCATTTTCTCGCGAAGAATTTTCAACACAGAATGATAAGAACAACCCTCTAATCATTTATATATCAGAATCTTGAGAGTTTATGAGGCAGAGTTGGCTTCAGGATGCTTTATAAGAGTTGAATTTCGCACTCCATAACTGTATTGAATATGATGGAAAAATTGATAGGTGCAAAGAAGGTTTGTATGTAAAGTTGTTAGCCTAAGATTATGGGAAACTGAATTATTACCGAATTGAAAAAGACTCAAAACTTATTCGATACTCATGCACTACTATTGCTCTGTGAAAATAATAATTCTCATAAAAGAAGTTTCATTATACTGAAACTAGGCATAGAAATGATTTAAGTACAGAAACACGTCTAAGATCATTCAAAAGCTTTGGTTACGAATTATTGAATTTCTTTCAAATCATAATGATTTTGGTAGCAATTTTGTTTGTCTCAGTGATTATGTAATGAGTAACAAAAGTATTGACTTGAAATTAAAAAATGAAAGATGGTTATTTTTGAAATATACAATGTTACATACTATTCGAAACGAATGAAAATACGACTTAGTATGAAGCAAAAGACTAGTATCAAAAAAATATTTGAAGAACTCCGTAATTCCCAAAGTGCAGAATTTTTTTGTTTCTGGTTGATGCTACTCGACAATGAAAAGTGTATTGTTTATGAATATATTGTAATAATCTAAAAGAGGTAAAGATTCAAGTTTATTATCTGTTATATGAAAAAAAACTGTTTGATTATGAGTCAATCTAAGGATGAAGTTTTACCTATAGAGTACCTACTCTGGGTTTTGTTACTATTAATTTGTCAGTATATATTTTTGGAATATTTGAGATTTTAGGGCTAGATCTAAAAATAAGTTTATTACATTCAACAATCTCAATATTTTTCTTATGGTAAGTAGTTTCAAAAATTTTATTTTTTCGTATAAACTTTGATTATTCTAAAGTTGATCAATAATTAGTGAGTCACACTTACGAAATAACGATTACCTATTGATAAAAATCTGTTCTGTTTTTCCGTTAACCAGCTGTCGCACCCCTACGAACGACAACCCTCAGAAGTCGAAACTTGTGCGAGCTAAGGATTAACGAGGTCTTACCTTTTAACGTGTGATTCCTAACACGGTAATCCCTACTCTGGCCCTCGATGGAAGACTTGTGAGGCAAACTCTTAACAAGAATGTCATTTGAATTGGTCTGATCTTTAAAACGTTAAACCTCGATAATCCCTTACTCACATAAGTGTCGAACAGTCTTCATAGGGACGCCTTTGTAGGTAGACGACAGCTGGTTTTACCTACGGAAAAATCCATTTTTGTCTCTTAAATTATTTGGAATCATTAGAGGAATGTTTGTTATTTCTGATATAAAAAAAGTTTCTCTTTAGTAACTTTTGACAAAGGTAATTTATATAATTCATCAAAGCTGTGGAGTACAAATCTAAAAATTATGGAACTGAAACGATTATTTCATCAAAAGGAAATAAATTCCGAAATATCAGTCCCTCCCAACTACCTACACAGTAGGATGTGGCAAACGTCTGTCGAAAAACAACTACTTTCCCGGCTAATACAATACCAAGCTGGATATTGAATTATATCCGACAGACATTTTTGCAAGATATCTCACAGAGGTTAGTCTCGCAGATGTTTCTCGTTCATCCAGCAGTAGGACTATGCTGAAATTATTCGAGTAGATCACTTGCAGATCGCGGTTCCAAGGTATTACCTCTCGTCAGTACAGGAAATATCCTACTCAGACAGCAAAGTATCTGGGATTCATTAATTTCAACACGACTCCAGTACATATATATGGAACCTTCGTCTGAGAGAAAGATTGTTAACTAGTAACAACTCCATCTCGTGAACAAAGCCCCAAGCGGGAAAGAAACATCTCATGTACCAAAACTCTAACGTATGTATATCTCCTCGGTAGTTTTCATTTTTGATTTCTCTTATAGACTTTCATTATGCTTCTCGGAATTCAGTAAACCTGTGCCACCCATTGGTACCTAAATATGAGTGCCAAAGCTTTCTGGGTATTAAAGAGGATTCTTTTGTAGGAGATGGAAAGAGAGAGTTAGAAATAATGAAGTTTCATGTCTTCTGAGAACTAGATGATAACTCCATCTACTACGCCAAAGCGATATATAAGTATTAAAATTTGGGAACTCCATGTTTTCGTTTGTACCCGATTGTGATGAATATTTATTCATTCACAACTACTTTCCCGACTAATATCACGCTGGATATTGAATTATATTTGACAGACAAACAGAAATTAATATTTCGAATTTTTTTTCGAAATATTACCCCCGGTCTGCGGGTGAATAATTTAAACATTAGCCTGACAAATATCTGCGGGACTAGCCTCTGTGAGGAATCTTGCATAAATGTCTGTCGGATATATTTCAATATTCAGCGTGGTATCAGTCATCAGGAAATTATAGGACCTGAAGCAGAACGAAGTAATAACTGAGTTAGAGAAAGTGGGCAAATTTGTCTACCTGGAAAAATAAAACTGGTTTTAACGTTTTCCAAATTTTCATGTATTATCTTATGTTTTCCTACATGTTATCTGTTTCTCTTTACACATGTCTGGGGTACAAATCAAGACAGAAAAGTGAAATCTATAAAATTCCATGCTCATAATGAGAAGTAGTTGTTTCAGATCGATTTCTTCTGTTTCCATTCATATCTGAAAAAAATCTAGTAAGCATTATTTACACCATTGCAAAAAGTCTTTAATATTTTCATTGATTCTTTCAATTAGTTCCTTAGAAGTTTCCCAGTTTTTGAATTCCAAGAAGTAGAAAATTAAAAACTTATTCTATAAAAATATTGTTCAAAAACAAAAGTTTTGTCCGTTTTTATGAGTATATTTTAAACTGTAATATCTCGGTATTCAATTATTCAATTTGATCGAAATAAGCGCCATTTGAATCAGTACACTTTCGACAAAGTAATACAAGTCGAATAATTCCGTCAGCATAGAAATTGTCTGCTAGGGATTCTTTGAAGTCGATAGAGGCCGTTTTGCTTGTTCCTGATTGGCGGAGGTTCTACTGGCGAGAAAGTTATCGAAGTGCTTGAAAATATGGTAGTCCATTGGCGATAGGTCTGGGGAGTATGGTGGGTGACGCAGAACTTTCGGACGATGATTTGTGAAACGTGCGGACTGGTGTTGTTGTTGAGCAGGATCAGACCTCTTCTGATGACCAGGATAATTTTAGTTGCGCAAAAGCAATGAAGAACAAATCTTAAAATGTGTCATGGGTCACCCAATTTTCGAGCTTATTGGCCTTTCCAATACGTTTTAAACCATGAAAAACCTCATGGCAGCTGACAACCAATTCTTCCGCCATCCCACGCACCGTTTGTTATGAGTCAAGTCTCCACCAGGGAGTCCTCATATCCTAGTCCTGCTACGTCCTACTGTATGTCGTTCTTCTATATGTCGACTACTTCAGGGCTACGACCTACTATATGTCGTCCTAATATATGTCGACTACTTTGGGGCTCATCTTCGAAGCTAAAATCTCTGGATAGAAATTTCGCAAACCATTAACACTATCATTGCCAAATGCTTTATTATTGATTTGGGCTGTTTTAGCAGGGCTTTAGTTCAATTAGAATTCGTAGATAAAAATTGGCCGAAAATTGCTCAACATCATCTTTTAGTAATAGGATGGAAAAAAGCAAAAAATAAATTATTATTATAAATAAATTAACAACATCAATGTACAGTTCAAAATTCAATTTCGATTAGTATATACCACGACACTGTAGAATAAATATTCATTGAGATATGGAGCTACAAAAAAACATGACTTTGAAACGGATCACCCTTAGAATTTGAATAGGAAAATTGCCAAGTGTGAAAATTATCAAAAAAGGTAATTTTTGAAGGAATTCATCCATGTATTTGTTTACTGCGTGTCCTCTTGGGAAAAAACTGTTCTGAGCAAGGAACAGTTTGTTCTAAAACAATCGCCCTGAAAATTTGTTTAAACTTTCATCTGTTTTGTTTATAGGAATACTCCATTGCAATTGTCATTTCAATAACTAACGTCATAAGTATATGTCTGCTCCTTAGGTCCTATTTCGAAGTTCTATAAGAGGAGAAGACTCTTTGTTATGTGTCAAGGTTTCGGTAAATTTATTATCTTCGCCAGGAGAAGTACAATAGATTACAAAATACTTATCTTATATAACGATATAAATATGGAACACTTACTAACGTGAGATTAATAAAGAAATTGGAATATTACGAACAGAAATAATAGCCATAACAATTTTTTCGAATATGTCAAATTTTCACAGTGTCATGTGGAAAAATTCTGAATACTAGATGATTTTTCTTATCCTTCTCGTATTCAAGTAGAAATGTATAAATTTCGCTCAAATTATTAAGATCTGTTCTTTTGTTCATGGCTCATTTCTGAAATTGTTCTTTGAGTTGAGTTGGTTTCTCTCTCCAAAATGTCTGTGTTCTCAAAATCAATTCGGCAATCCTCCGTATTGACGTGTTCATTCAATGCGTAATAATTAACGTTTCGTTTGCAGTCGCTTTTGTGTGAATTATGCGACTGATAAGAGGCCTCGAATTCTGTCCTATGTATGTTTAATAACAATCCATACATGAAATTTTGTACATTATTTATTCACTGTCTATTCAAAATTTCAGTTTTGACTTTACTATATAATTCATAAATAGTTGTAACATTTCTTTTAGACATTAAAAAGTGATTGTTTTGGAATACATTAATTAATTTTGGTGTTAGTTCTTGAATATAAGATAATGATTTATAAATAGAGGGCAGTACTTGATTATCAATATCAAGTCTATTTTGAAAAATTGAAGAAACTGTTCTTTCACAAAAAACATTTTTAGAAATGAGCCACATCAATAACGAAAAAAATTGCAGGAACAAGAGAACAGATTTTAACAATTTGAGCGAAATTTATACATTTCTACTCAAATACGAGCATTTATACTACTGTGTACATCGTCATAAATGCGAACTGGATTTAT